TGAGAACGGATTACGATGGAACGGTTTACACGGTCCAACTGGTGCTTGTAACACAAAGATTGTGGTAATAAGCGAAACAGAGGGTAATACGACGGTTCCGTTTCGAGTTCATTTCTTAATGGAGTGACGGGTCAGGAGTGGTCAGCAGGAAGTAATTGCAGCCGCATCACCGCACCCTGTCCTCGATCGGCTCTCGTCACGCGATCGACTTCATCTTTCAAGTAGAATGTAATTCCCGACACGATTTCACGTAGGTTCATTCGCTCCTGTTTTGCATTCAATCCATTCTGAATGAGAAGAACCGATGATAGTAATTGAACGTGTAAGCGAAGAACATAGAAATTCGAAATTCTTCATTTTGTTTATGGAAAATATGTTTGAATAATATTAAATGGGAAGAAAAAACATTAATTATGTTTGAAAATATTTTAAATTTTTTATTAATATAATTCCTTTATATTCTGAACCATGTACAGTGAATGTAGATTCCAAGGCAAGTTATCTGAATGAAAGTTTCATTCCTCTGTAAGGAATTAATCACTCGATTCTACAATTCTATTTGAGCCATTCACAAACTTGTTCCATTCTCTTAAACATTTCTCATCAGGGAATTTCCTCGTCTTCTTTTCAAGATGAAGAGTGGCCTAAACTCCTCTACTTCTTTGAAACACGCGTACTCCTAATCGGTCTTAGCAATCGCGAGACCGAGTCCCGCGCAGCAATTCCAAACAACTTGCAAGCACACTGGGTCCCATTGTTCTCCCAGCAGATTCCCTGACATCGTTTCCACTTCGCTCCACTCTCGTTCCGTTCGTCTCGGTTCGCTCGGTCCAATTAACATTCACGTGGGTGTTAATCCGAGCAATAAGCGTGTCCACGCGTGACAGATCTTCGAGACACGGACATCTTCCACCTGAGCTCACACGCCGGTGCACCGAGAGTTCAAGGCGAGCCTGTCCCGTCGCTTGAAATGGGTGACGCTTAGAAATCGACGACGAGGAAAAACGAACGACTAGGCTAGGCTTCGTGTTACGACGTAGCCACGTCGCGAAAGTTGAGATCACACGCGGGCAGATAAAAGCTACATACATATGAATCATCACATCGGTTCGTTCGTGGACACAACACAGTAGCTGCAGGTTTCTTATCGTAAGTGTTCCCAACCGTAAATTGAATTTAGAAAGAACTGGACAAACAGTAGTTCGTCATACTGAATATAATAAATTATAACGAGAATTAAATGATAAACTAATTGTTTTAATTCACATGGACTAGAGTGTTTTTTAGCTTATTCAAATCAAATTTATCAGGACAGTGATATTAGCAGAGTAACAAAAAAAAAGGAAAACTGTTAATAATATCTAAAAGATGAAATTTAAATTTGCATAATTAAATTAAAAAAAAAATTTAATTCAAAGAAGATCTGTTAAAGAAATACTGACTAAGGAAACGTGTTTATAGCCGTATTTGGTTTTCCTTTACAAAAGGAAACTTTCGAGCTTCTCGATGAAAGTCCCGAGTACAACCAGATGGCAGTATAATTTATAGGAGCGACAGCAGAACAACGATTACTTAATTATTCCTCGGTTTTCACAGAAGTAGATCGTATTTCTTTCCGGTAATGCCGCAGAGACACAGTGTAACGAATCAACAACACTGCTGCTAGTTGGAATCGCTCAGGACGTTTGTTCCTAAATGGATGTTGTGATATCTCGCGAACTGAAATATCCCTCAAGATAACGGGTAGGGTAGGAGACGAAGGTAAAAGGGGCAGGCAGGCGTTTCTGCTACGAAGACTTGCCGCGAGGAACGAAACGCGTACGAAAATAACGCGCGACGAGAAAGATAAACAAATTGTCGAAAATTCCGCTCCGAAAAAGTGAAAGCGGCGGAAACGGTTCAATTCTCAACCGAAGGAATGCGAGCAGCTTTTCTTGCTGTACGCGTGTATTGTATAAAATAATTTCATCCTGTTTAAACAACTGACTCAATGCAATTAATACGTAATTTTATTGAATAGAAAATTTAATTCTTAATTTAGTTTCCGATTGGTTGAATGAACTCTGTTGTTTAACTAAAACGAATAACGTATAGACTTTAGACGTGTCTATTTTTACTTTTTAAACAGCCGCAGGTTAACGAGCGTTAGATTCTTCACCACCTGCTGTAGACCATAGAAAGAGCCAGCGATACGAGGGTATTAAGGGATTAGAGCGTCGTTTGCCGGCGACTCATCCCTAGAACCGACGAGACACCTCGATTTTCTCGTTCGACCCTTGAACCGCAGTAAATACTCCTCGAAAACAGCTTTACGTCCGAACAAACACAGTGAAGTCTCGCCGAGACCGCAATAGGAGGGGCTGTTCTTTTGTCGGACCAGTTCGTCCACCTTTTTCACTCATAATCTCCACTTCTGTATTTCAAAAAGTCAGGCTCCGTGCATTTGTCTCACCGTCTCTCCATCCCGTTCTATTCTCAATTTCGGGATTATCGTTTCGTCGGAGAACAGAGCGCTGTCTTCTCACGTAAATTTCAAATTCTGCCACAACTGATATCGTGTTTAGACGCGGGTCCGGCAGGAATTTTCCCGGGGCTAGGATGTTCGCTCCCTCCGCGTGGGAAAGCGTAACTCGTTCCCAAACTGTTACGTTACGAGATACCCCTTTCCCTGTCCGACCCACTCTCTGTCCCGTCTTTTTGTAAAGATAAACTTTGCAACAGCGTGAATACAAATCACCCAAGTTGCTCGCGCGTTCAGGGAATCCGGAGAAAAATGTGACACGGCCAATCCAACCGACAGCCGTATCTGCGCACCGCTCATCCGGACTTTTGGAAATACAATTCACGAGATGCGTTCTCTCGTCTGTAACGCGTGCCGCTTCTCGTTTATGCCTCTGAATTTAGCTCGCTTTAGTAAACGTCCAGGATAAATTCTTTTCCTACCTTCTTTTCAAACTGACGTTTCCCAATAAATCGACGTACTCTATTTTAATAATTACTCGTTTTAAAGAAAATCGAGAAAACAATTTCATTTCTGCTTGGCTCGGAGTTTGAACGGTTGGTCAAAGTAGCACGTTGACAAACGTATCGACAGGAAGCCAACGTCACCGGAAGTACCATTAAAGAGACTCGTCGTGGGCCAACAATTTCACTCCTTCCATTTCTCTGTCTCTAACAATAAGATCGCGTGATTAGTACCAGCGACAAAGCCGCGCGCAGTAACGATCGAGTTACTAATGCAATAAGCGTTTCCCACTTTCGTCGATATTATCGATCGGATCCGTTTCAATTCCGTTTATGCTCGCAATTCGTTGCCTGAGATTCACGATGATAACCCTCGGAATATGTTTGTTTCGCGTTTCACGATAAATTTGAAGCTTCGCGTATAGACGTGTACTGTGCACGAAAAACAATTGGCTCGTTTCACTGTTTAACGAGGGATAATTCGATTTTGGTGCACAGCGCGTGCATTCGAATTTCCAATCCCTTCTTTTTGTCGATAGTTCAAAGGGAGCGCAGAAGTGGTTCCTCTTCGTGATATCGTTAGTAAGCCCCTGTTTCGTGACGCAAATGGCAATCCGAAGAACGTATCGATTTTCTCTTATATATTATATCATCTTATTGTACAGTAAAAAATGTAGATACGAAAGAAAATGCGTGAGGAAGAGAAGACGGATAAGTAACCTTGAATGAACCATCTTAGGCGTCATTCTTGGTAATCATATAAAATGCAGTTAGGTGATTCATTTTTCACGACGTTACAACGCAGCGCGATTTCCGTTTCATTACCAATTTATAATCTGAGTGCAAAGCCAAGACAAGCACGTCCAATACATATTTAAACATTTAAAGAGTCTGTTTCTGTGATTTTTCATCTTGGAAATTCTAAAAGTGGCGCACTATCGATTTTTAATGTTACAGTAAAAGCCGTCAAGTATGAGTAATCGATTTTTTATACGACGCTGAGCATTTCACGAGACAGTGACAAGAATGATTAATTAAGAACCGCAATATTAATTATCGCTTGACGCTCGTTCAATCTAAATTCTTTGTTCTCGTTTTTTTCACCGGCCGTATCATCAACCCAGTAATTTGGTACTCGACAGAAATTCACTTGTTGATTTCGAAACGCGACAGGGTCGCCGGACTTCCGTTTCATTATGCAGTCTCTTAACTGTCTAATTATTATTCATCGCCGTTCAAGTCGTAACACGCAAATTATTCCAAGAAATTATTCCCCGCGGGTCTATTAAAACCCTTCTATTAACCAGCTACGCGTCGTCTCTTTCGCGGCATCTCTTTTCATCGGAAATTACGAGAGGTTGGAATGCAATCGAGCGGGGGTTGTTTGCAATTACATAAATTTTACGAAAGCCAAAATTGAACATTTTTCTCCCGCTAACGTCGAGGCCACCATCATCGTCTGTAGTGGCAATAAAAACGGAAGGATCCGTCCGCCTCTATTTAATGCGGGCCAATTATGCATCACTCGGAATTTCACTGCCAGCTCTTGGCAAATATGTACCCACCACTTATCCGGATGATAATTACCAGTTTTCGTTTAACGATTTTTCAAAAACGTACGAATAACGAGACTATTTTTATTCACAGCGCTCGAGATTTTTATATATGTATTTTTATTTTATATGTACCTACATAAACAGATATGTATTTATGATTCATCAGTCAATCCTCCACTATTCATACAGAAATAGGATTTATATCCAGGACTAAACCTACCCACGATAACTCATGTCTTTCACCCGCATTGTAGTCCAAATTCCCGTCTCTTCTCGCCCAGGTATAAATTTTCAACGCACCCCATATACCACGGACAATCGACAAAGCCTGCACAATGCCACCACCGCGCCGTTATACAACATTCTTCACAGCGTTACTAAACACAAGCCCCGGGATTAGAATACATCTCCCCGAAACCGTCATCACTACAACCTGTACTAACGTACCGTAATAATCGATTTCATTTATTTTTCTTGCAGGACGTGGAGTTACTGGAGGGAATCATTCCACCGGACGCGATGGAGGTGGAGGTCTCTCATTGCAGGGAGTTAAGGATCCAGTCGGGCGCGTTCGGGGATGGCGCGCCAATTAAACGGGTTCACGTGTCCGGGATCTACAGTTTCGTGGCCAAGCAACAGGCCTTTCAGAACTTAAGCGCGCCGAACACGCATCTCGAGGTATCCGAGTGCAACAGCGTGATACTGGAGAGCCACGCGTTCAGAAACTCTCGTGGAACGTTGAGCGTCTCGATATCGAAATGCCGAAGCGTAGGAATCAAACCTAACGCGTTCTCCAGGCTCTTATGGATCACCGTTAGGGAAGTTCCTAGATTAGAACTGTCCAGCAACGCGTTCAAGCTCGAGGCTTCTCAACACGGCAGACATGGACCAGCGACCAAGGTAAAATAACATTTTTAAGTTGCCCTATAAGTAGCCCACTTTTTATTTTTTAAGAAGCAACATTTACAAAATTGTAATGTTTAATGTCTTATGTTTTTCATTGCTTTCATATTCATTTTACATATTGGTTACATATTCTATAATATTTGTTCATTCACGTTTCTAAATTAATTAATCGCTTTCTTCTAAATTAATTCTAAATTAATAAATGGAATCGCTTTATCTGTTTTCAAAAAAGAAAGAGTAAACGTCTTCCTATATTTTATAATTATGACCGATCTTAAATCGATACGTAAATTTATAGATATAAACATAGACGTTTAAAACGATTCGGTAAAAGAAAAATAAAAATGTTCCATGTAGCGAAATTAATGTTTACCCGAGTCCCACGTCAAAACAGTATCGCGGTCTCGTCAGATTTATAAAAAGACTGAATCCTCCAAACCCGGGAAAGTTTATTTTCTCATTCGACTAGCGCGTCTATCAATTGAGATGACCAGTCTATGCGAAATACACTCGGCCGAGGAAATTGGCGATTTTCCAACCGAATGATCTCATTGTCGGATAGCACGCGATAATCACGATTCAACCGTGGCGCAGATTATGTTCCAAAGGGTGAAGATCACCGAGCTGCCGACAGCTGTGTTCCCATCGGCGATCGCGGAAATACGCATGGACGATATGTTCGCGAAGGTGATCCGTAAGAACGCGTTCTGCGCGATGAACATCTTCAGCGTGATCATCAGCAACGCGTCGATCCTGGAGATCGAGACCGGCGCGTTCAGCGACAGGGCGTTAATCCAACGGCTCGAGTTCGTCGACGTCAGATTGAAGAGCATCGAGAGAGGAGCCTTCCGGGCGGGCCACGACAACCTCACGATACAATATTCAAGGTAAATCCGCGTCCACGTTTTCCCTTTTTGTCTCGCGTCCACTGCTACTCAGTCAGAGATATTATGTTCACGTATAGCTGTGATCATTAAGCTGTCACACCCTTCGTGCAAAGTAACGAAAATCTTTATGCACGTTTTATAGTACTCAGTTCATCCTTGATTATAAGTTTATGAGTTTAAATAGAGATTTGTACCTCTCCTTTCTCCGTATTAAATAATACATTAATTAAAATGTATTACATCTAATTAATTCTATTTCAGTTTGCTAAAAAAAACTAATAACACTTTAGTCGAAAGTCTCAATTTTCCGCGAGAGATTATCATCTTCTGTTTACAAAAAGTTACTAACTTTCCCTCGGAACTTCTGTGGAAAGAAACTTTCCGTGATAAAATAGATCTGAGCTCAGGATTTGTTTCTCGTGTTTTCAGGCTCACCGACGTCGAATCCGGTGCCATCGACATATACGCGGCCACGGTCAGCTTTAATAACAACGAGTTCCTGAAACTGCATCAGGGCGCGATTGTACTACACCAGTGGAACCATATAGCCATCGACTACAATTTGTTCGTCGAGCTGGAGACAGACGCGATCATCGCGGACGTGGACGCGACCAGGGCGCCGAATTTTGAGTTTTCGTTCACGGGGAATCATATAGAGAAAGCGCGGCCGGGGTCGTTGAGGTTCGCCGCGATCTCCCAACGGGTGAACACCGCGCGCGTCGGTAATAACTACTTCAAGGAGATGTGCAGATGCGGCTTGGATGATTGGATACGCGAGATGACTGGGAAAAACAGCTCCGTGTCGTGGATGATGGACTCGAGTTTCTGCATGGTCGACCAGATTCTAGACAGGTGTTTCAATCTGCCGCAGGGCTACATGTCGATGCGAAACTTCACTAAAATCATCTGTGCACCTGGCGATCATATCATTTGTGAGAAATCGCCGGCCAAACCGGAGCCAAGCGTCAGTCCGCCCAGCGTCGGCCCTCACGTCTATCCGAGACACAAGGGCTACTATGACGTGGAGATGAGCGATTCGGAACAACTGCAGCGCGAGAAGAGAATCATCGTGGTGATCTGTGTGATAGCTGTGTTCATCGTGTTGGTGGTGATACTGGCATCAGGAGTTTTGTATATGCGTCGCAGCGGCGTGTGTCCGAAGTTAACTTCGGGTCACCTCATGAATCTCACCAGCTGGCTGTCTCCTAGCAGTGGAATGACAGCCGCCACATCTGCCAGGTCCATATCCAGGCTGAGCGTACACGAGTATGCGGGCCTACAACCGGAAACGCGGATTCTGGAGGTCGAAACCCAGGCCGATGCGATGGAGGAGGAGGAGGAAGGTGCGGACGGATTGTATCCATATACGGAGAACAAGGCCACGCAAACGTTGCCTGAAGAGCTGACGGAAGAGTACCTGAGAGATCTAAGAGAAAGGTTGAACGACCCTGATGACTATAATCAGGCGAGGGACATGATCGAGCACTTGTACGATTTGATCAAAGTAGAGGAGAGTTGCAACAATAATAACGACCGGCAGCCACCGGGCAGAGAAGAAAACGCGTATGATATGATTCAGCCAAGACGAAGAAGGCTCAGAGGCGCGCCCAAGCCTACTGTAACCATAGGCACCAAAGCACCTTCGTTGGAGAAATTACTACCAATTGGAATACAGCCGAGACCGCCTTTGACCGAATATACGGAACCTCGTGATCGGAGAACGAATGAACAGAATCATTTGTATGCTGAATTACCAGGCGATGAGACTGTACCCAGTACTAGTCGATTGTCTCAACCCATCCTGGCGACTTTGGCTGGAAGAGCGCCGCAGCCTCTGCCGCCGGACGTTGTCAACGATCATCTAATCAACGATCATTCGAATCAAGCGTTCGGCAACCTGAAGAGCGACAACGATCACAGGTTGCCGGAAAGCCCGAGGTTCGAGGCGTTGCGGAACCAGGCCAGACCGATGAGTTTCTTGAAGGCTCTCGGTGAAAGCATCCTCGGTGGGTCGAAGGCGAGTAACAATAAAAGGCCGAACTCGCTGCTCTGTGAGTACGCCGAACCGTCCGACGCGACCGCACACCTATACTCGGAATTGCCTGAACCGCAAACTTCGACGCCGGCCAGTAAAATGGCGAACAGACCTCTGCCCACCAAACCCGACCAAGATTCCGTCAACATGGCGAGGGCATAACGAGCGCCCGTCGCCTATTGTCTGTGATAACACTGTACGAGTGCCGAGACTGTGCTACGGTAAAATCGTGCTTACTCATTTCTTCCTTTTCCTAATACATCATCGACCAACTATGAATTCGTGCCTAGTGTTCGAGTGTCTCAGTCGAGTTTCGCTGAGGTATGAATGAATCGCTGAAAACTGTGCCAGACACGTAAGAATTCTTTACGATATTAGTTTAAGAAGCTTTTGTAAAAAGGGGGAAGAAGTAGAGGGATTTAAAGAAAGCATGAATACTCGTTTTTGAGTTCAACATGTTGATTCTTTTCGCTCGCGGTGAAAAGTATTTGAGCAACGAAAGACGAGTTATATTTAATGACTGCCCGGCAAAACGTGGATGTAACATAGTTTCATATATATATATATTTGCTTCGTCAGGTATTATTAAAGGAAGTATATTTCACGTTCCGCATCTGTCTTTCATTCAACCTGGAACGGCCAATTACGTTTCCCCCTTTGATCCTCTAGTTCGTGGCTTCCTGGAATTATGTAGCTAAACGCGATATCCAGCTCCGATAATTTCCGAGTTCTCCGATTCTCCAGAGACGCAACCATCCCGCCCCTCTTAGCCGTCCCATCACAAATTAATCTTAGAGAAAACTCCAAGAGATTGTATTTATGAAAATCGTAATCGTTGCGGAAAAGGCTACGTCGTATCTCATTTTATTTCAAGATTCTTTCGTCTGTCGACTTTCTGATATAATTCATTGTAACATGAAAGTTTTAATAAAATTAATTTCTATGAATAAACCGTAAGCGTAAGACTTGGCTCGTTGCATGTCCAAAAATTTGCTCTTGCTGTGAGAAGTATTCACAGCTACTGAAGTTGCCTGGCATATCTTTATAGGTTTGTTACTCCCAAAGGAAGTCCTCACAAATATTTTAAGACCTTTTCTTTTTAAGTTTATTAATTATGAACTGCACCACTGATCTTTTATTTATCTATATCAATGAAATTTATTTTTTACACATTTATAATTTTTTAATACTACTATCGTTGTAAATCAATCACATGAGACTTCAAAATGAAAAACAATGAAAAGTTGTACAATTTGTCCAGGTCTCTAGATTCTGGATGAGTCCGATCATTCAAAGGAATTTTACAATTCTAAACTGTTCAAGGCTCTCATGTCCCGGCGTTCCTGGCGGTCGAGAACGCGAGTTTCGGGTTCAAGGGGTCGACACGGATATTTTTTCTCGTTTTACGAGGAGAAGCAGTGGTGCTCGGATCGCGCGAAGCACACGAACTGTCTGTAGTTGACAACCGCCCGACGAGCGAAGGAAACAGTTAGTTTCAACGGCGAACGAAGTTACCCGAAAAAGATATTCTTAATCTCTTTCGGTTTCTCTCTACGCTGGGCGTAGTCGATGTGCGTATCCGCGGCGAGACCAAACTATTCCATGAAGAATGTAAGAGGAGCAAATAGAGGAGGCCGACTAGTCTGAAGCAGTGAGCTGCGATGCAGCTGTTGATGTTCAAACGGCTGCGGCTGTCGCTTCTCTCTCTCTTTCTCTCCCTCTCCCTCTTTCACCCTCTCTCGCCCCATTTTTCCTCACGCTGATCATTTTTCTCTCTCCCTGCTTCTGATCTCTGTTGAAAAGCAGAAAAGGTTTGGCGGAAAAGAAGAGCGCGGGAGAGAAAAATTGGCCAGGAAATATACGTAAGTAGCCGAGTAATTAATTTACAGACTTTGTTTACATGTGGTAGCAAAAATATCTTTCTATTTATCAAATGCAACTGCCACGTACCTATCTTTTTATAAGTTAGAGGAAAATTGAAGCAAAGAAAACAACTTGTGTTTAGATACGAATAATTAATAATGTCAGTCACTGTTTTATGACATTTTATAAAAGAATGTTCTTATCTTGTTTCATATAATTAATTATACACTTCGAAGTAATGAAAATATCGTCCCATATAAAATTAGAATACTGTTATCTATCTAACAACTAATTTATTATTTTTAGAAAATAGGAGACAAATTAGTATTCAATAAATTTTGACTCACATTAGCCAACACATGTAACATAATAATATAACATATAATCCCTGTTTGAAATTCTGAAATTTTTTTAGCATCGAAACAGTACGAGAATTATATGGAAACGGAAGCTTATCGTGAAAATCGGGCAAAAACTGGCTGATAAAAATTGATCAGACGTCTATTAAGAACAATGTAGCGTGAAAACGCTTTATAGAACAGGCGCTGGAGGTATTCGGGGCAAACAGGCGCGATATTTCTTCCTGGTCCGATCCCTCGTTCGCCTTTCGTTTCGAGGGTGCGATTCATCGCGCGCTTTATCACTCGCCACTTTGTCGACAGGCCGCCGCCGCCGCCGCCACGCGAACCGTCGCGATACCAGAGTCAACTTATATGTACCTACGAGGCGATCACCCTATCTCGCACCGATTCCCCAGCATTCTTTATGGCCCCCTATTTTTCTGATAAGGCCGTGATTTTTCTCAGACGACCGGTCATGCTTCTGGTGGAAAAATCGCTCGCCGGATGGGACCAACTGGCTCCGAACGACGCGTCATTTGTCGCGTCTACTTCTCCATCTCGCGAAACAATTTAATCTTTTATAAAATTTCTCGTTTATAATACAATCCATGTGGAATATTTAAATTAGAGGAATTCTTATTTTACGCTACGTATTTGTGGACTGATTAATCTATAAGTATCAATAAGATAATTTTTTACTATTTGATAGTTTAAATGTGTGTTGATAAAATGATAAGAGCCGATAAATCTTCTATTGTGCATTCATTCTTATTCCAAGAATCATTTCGTTTTCCATTACTGAGAAGACGAAATCCTGTTCATGGGGGAATTATTTATCCGTGAAAGGGAGAGCAGGGACCGTAACGAAAGCTAGGCGGAAGCATGTACACTGAGTACACTGTAGGCCGGGGATCATCGGGTACGATCCATAGTGTTACACGAGAGAATAATCCACAACGAGGCAGTCGTGGTCGTGGCGAGCTTCTCTATCAGGTTTCATTAGCGGGCCAATCATCTCATCACTCGGATACGGACGCGCCGCGTCGCGCCGCGCTGCATCGTCGTACAGGCGTCGCCTGTACGAGAGGGCCTAACCCGTTTCCCTGGTCCCTGACCTAATCTCGTGATCGCTGAGAAAATCGATCGAGGATCCCATCGTTGATCCACCGACTGGTCCGTTCGCTGCCGCGAGCGGGTTGTATCGTAACAGCGAAATCACGCCCGAAGCCGGTCAACGGCTTATATTAAGCCGAAGCTTAGAACATAAACGCGTTTTCCATTCCGAAGCTGTGAGGAGAAGAGAGAGAGAGAGAGAGCAGAGTAAGGGATGTAGTCTGCGAAAACAGCTTACGTGGGATAGAACGTATCGGGACATTGTAATTGGACCGGATCTGATATATTCCGCGACGCGTCAGCTAGTAATATGGAGCGATATTGTTTCGGACCTTGTACGCCCTGTGGATCCCTTCCCTTTCGCCTACGACCTGGCCCGAGATCAGTTTCCTCAGCAGTGTACTGGGATGGGAACGTGAACCGTGTACGATGGAAGTTGAGTTTCACGGTAGCCTGTTCGTTAAGTAGCTTGTTAGCGATGTGGGTGATGTAATGCATGATGATGATAGCGATTGGTGTGAAAGAAGTTATATGTTTTTCGGAAATGGGAACAATTTAAATGGAAGAGAGAATGAAACTGAAGAATTAACAATGCATTGTATATACACATGTATATATCTGAATTTCTATTCAGCTGCTTTAATATCTTCATTCTGTTTGGCAAAACAGTATTTGGAACCTAGAAAATAATTTTGGACCAGATGTTACAGGAAACGCATGAGGCAATTCAGTGCACAAACTATTTTTTGATTTTATGAAAAACGGTTGATAGGAGACCAAATGACGCACTGATCTATGATCGACAAATCGACGGTCAAAGTTTCCTGTTCATGTTTCTATTTCGTCACAGTCGTATACCGGGTGGTGCCGCTGTAATATCCACCGCGTGTTCCTTACGAGTCAGGCTGTGTCACATGTTGCCAGGATATTAAACCATCCTCCTAATGGACATTTAAGCCAAGTGTCTGTGTATAGATTTATCTGTGTCGCCAATTCTTTCAAGAGGATGTTCCCTTTTCGTAAATAAAACCTCTCTTGATCTTCTCGTTATAGTATTTCCACGATCATTCATTCTTAACAGATTGACCTCCCCTTCTTGAGATGCAAAGAAATTGTATAAAGCCTTTTTTTCTAAACTTTCGTATTCGATTCAAGGAAACTGTTTGCCTCGAACGAGAAAGTTTCCTCCAAGTAAAGCCGGTTTAGCCTTCGCGGAAGATCCGTCCGCGAAATGACGAAACGTTTGCCAGTCACGTGTTGACGATCAGCCGAAAGCATGTAGACGAGCGATGCGCGCGAGGGCAGAAGGAGAGGAAAAACGTTGAGTTCAAGAAACAGGATGTCGCGGACGGGCGCGAAATCTTGGGATAATTATAAATATAAATATGAACCAGAAAACGATGCTCGTTTCGGCGCGCTCTAGAAATCCAAAAATAAGGCGCTCCGCTCCCTCGACCTGTTCCACCGCTCATCCCATATTAACCCTATTTACCATTACTCTTTCATATATAATAAAATGATATAATATGTGTTTGACGAGTATTCCCTCCATATTTTTTCTTTAGTCTTTAAATATTCGATTAATATCTATTGAAATAGCTAACAGAAAAATCCGATAAGACTTCGTATTATGTTGCAGGGTTACATACTTTTACGTTTTTCGCAATCTGTCACTTGAGCGCGGGTCACGTAAAAGGACGTATTTAATAGACTTGCGGTGGAGACCGGGTGACGTTCGCAACACAATATACCCGATACATTGTGTTAAATCTTTTAAAAGAACTAATTGCATGCCTCAAATAACAATCTCTTTAATGAAATTGTTATATTAAAAGAAAGAATTGACATATAAATTCTCGTCGACAATATTTCCGTATAATTAGTTGGAATTAAATTACATCATTAAATGTTTTTGCCTGAAGAAGAGGCATCTCCGCAAAAGTATCTCATCGACAAAGAAGCGAATTCCTTTATTGCGACTCATTGCTGGGGTTTCGCGTACTTTGCAGACGGCGTATCGGCCGTCGGAAACTCGTGCTCCCTGGCTCTCTCTCTTCCCCATTGAAATCTAAATATACCCCATGATATTAATAGCGTATGGTGTGGCGGTGGCAGAAGGGCCGTTTCATACGCCCGCGTAGCGCACGGTTCTTCTTTTCAGACGAATGCAGAAAACTGCATTCTTCTGCGGCTACATGCACCCTCTGTTCCTCGCAGAACATTTCACTATACCTGAACGCGACAGCGTAGCGCCGGCAGCTTTACGAACGCGGTATAAAGTGCTGTACGTCC